ATTTATTCTCCATTGCGCCTGAGGGCAGGACAAGAACCAATGGGTGGAAACCCGTCAGAGGGAGATCCAACCTGGAAATGAGGAATTTCCTGATGGTGAGTGGAACAGCTTGCCTCCTGATGTGGATGCCCCATTGCTGGAGGTTTTCAAGAAAAGGCTGGACAGCCATCTGTCCAGGATAGTATGAAGTATCCTGGACAAGTATCAAGGGGTTAGACGAGAAGACCTTCAAAGTCCCTTCCAACCCTACAACGGTTCTATGATTCTATTATCTCAGGGCAACTGTAACAGCCATAACCCCCTGCACCTACCTGCCATATTTTTTGTTATTATGACATATGAGGTAGTAAATCCCACTAGCGCCGCTTCCCATGCCTGATAATAAAAATTCAATAGCACCAAAGTAAGTAAATGTCAGTGTTCTGCCTGATGTAACCAGGCCTGTATGACCAACGGTAGGGCCGACCCTGCCCAATGCAAAGATTTGTAATGTTCTCTTTTCCTCAGAATATTAGCCCATGCCACCTATTTTTCACAGGCCTTGCTTCTCTGTCTTGCCACACTGAGGGAGGCAAAGAAGAAATTGTGCTTTCTTGGTTATGGCCCCTACCCTATGGTATAGGTTCCTGGTGGACATTCGTCAAGCCTCTTCCCTCCCATCCTTTAAGAGGATGCTGAAGATGCTGTTGTTCCAAGAAGCATTCAAGGGCATCCTCCCTTAAATTTATTCCTATTTATCTTTCCCAGAGTCCAGCATCATTTGGGGTGTTAGGTATTTATTGTATGCTTTCGCTTAGGGGTGTTTTCTCTTGGTTTGTTGTTTGCTAAAGATTTCTGCCCACTAAAGGTAAAGGTAAAGGTAAAGGTAAAGGTTCCCCTTGACAGTTTTTGTCCAGTCGTATTTGACTCTAGGGGGTGGTGCTCATCCCCGTTTCCAAGCCATAGAGCCAGCGTTTGTCCGAAGACAATCTTCCGTGGTCACATGGCCAGTGCGACTTAGACACGGAACGCTGTTACCTTCCCACCGAGGTGGTCCCTACTGATCTACTTGCATTTGCATGCTTTCGAACCACTAGGTTGGCGGGAGCTGGGACAAAACGACGGGCACTCACTCCGTCGCGTGGATTCGATCTTACGACTTCTTGGTCTTCTGTCCCTGCAGCACAGGCTTCTGCGGTTTAGCCCGCAGCGCCACCACATCCTGCCCACTATTTTGTTTTAAACCACTTAGTGTTCTGCACTAAGTCAGGATAAACAAACAAACAAACAAAGGTATAAAACAGTGTGCCCTGATATGTATGAATTGTAAGATTGCAGCCACAACATGACAAGGTGGCGGCGGAGTGTTGTGGAAAACATTTCCTTCAGAATTACTCTAAGTTTATTCATTTATTATGAACATATGTTTTGGCTCACAAACTGATACACAGAAGAATACAATTGGAAATGTTTGGAAAAAGTCTCTCAAGAGGTATGAGGGATAAATGGAGATTTGGACCTTCATTTCCCCATTCCTTGTCTGGTATTCTAACCACTATACCACACTGCTTCTCTTTATGAACATTCTGATTTCACTCTAAAACAACAATAAAATGTTTTTAATTGTTTTGCATTTCCCATGTTGATTTATTACTTGTATCTAGAGCTTTTTTTAAACTCATCACCCTTTGCTGTTTCAGTTGATTAATGAATACAGAATTTAATAATTTGCAATGAAGGAGCAAATACTTGTTCAAACACTCAAGTTGTAATGAAATTCTCTGAGCCTCCTTGGGCCAGTCCTTAATGATTAGCATAATCAATTCTACAAGGTCACTGTGAGCATATCAAATTCTGTGTGTTTGTGTGAAATTGTGCATAAGGCCCTCAGCTTCTCTTCAAAAGAGTGCAATTTTTAGAAATGTACCAAAACACTTTAATTCTTTTTGACATCTCCCAGCATTGCCCAGTGACCTCTTCGCTAGGGAGGCTGGGGGTGGCAGTAAGCCTTGGAACAAGCTCGGAGAAGGCTAGAGAGCATCTGGGGAAAAGTTCCCTCGAATGATAATAGGGCTGCGGTTAAACACATCTCTGTTGCTATTATGATGCCATCAGGACTGCTAAGAAAGCCTATAATGTGAGATGGAACAGTGAGGCCACCAACCAACAGGTGGAGCTTTTATAAAGTGTTCCATGACCTCACCAATGCCAGATGACATCCAGGGCCCCAAAAGGATGACGCAGCATGTAGGCCATTTCCAGTCGACAATCAAGTTCATCCAGAGCGACCTGGTATCTATTAGTAAAGCAATAAGTCAGAGCAAGATGTCTGTGTCTAGAACTGGACACAATGCTCAAGATGAGGCCTAACCTGTATTGAAGAGAGGGGAACTGGTACCTCACAGGATTTGGAGGGTTCATTAAAATTGGCTTTTAAAAAATCCATCCTATGTGTGTGAAAAGTGGGGGAATAATTCAGTTTTTTACCCATAAGAACTACTGCGCTGCTCCACATTGGCAGTTGGAAAGCTTATTTTCATAGCACTGAACTTTGCTTCCCAGTGGAGAACAGTTGTCTACTGCTGCATGTAATTAATCAAATTTAAGGCACCAGGTAATTCGTAGCTTTTCATCTTGCCGACATTCTGTTGTATCAGAAAGCAGCAAAAGATTAGTCTTTGCGCTCCACAATGCCTGCGGGCTGTACAGTATATTGTTACAAGTTAGAACATGACCTACCCCTTTCTTTAAAATATCTGGCAGGGTCCCTTCGCCAATGACCATGCCATGACCTGTGTCTGTGGGCAAAGGGGGTATCTATAAAATCAGAAATGATGTTAAACTACATCATAATGCTGTAATGCATTTCCAATAGAAGATACAGAGGTTTAGCTGGTGGGCTCTTTTTTCATCAGTTGGTGTTCCAGCTTCACTAGGAGGTTTACTAAAAGTATACCTCAATAGTGATCTGGCTCATTAGCACCACAGGGTGGATGCAGGCAGTGGGAGGTAGGCTGGGCAAATCCCCTTGACTATTCATAAGCTCATCATGAAGCACAGTGGTGGATGACATAAGGTTACCAGTATTCATAAGCTCATCATGAAGCACAGTGGCGGATGACATAAGGTTACCAGCACATTGACACTCCTCCCACCAAAATTATATATATATTTTTAAGGTATAGGCACCCTAACGACATTGGATGGGGCCAGGGGGGGTAGGGAAGACCACACGGCGGAGAACACAAAAATGTATCGGATCAGCAATACAATTGGAAATGTTTGGAAAAAGTCTTTCAAGAGGTATGAGGTGGAGAGCACAAAAATGTATCGGATCAGTCACGCACACATGATGGCACTGCAAAATGAATGCATGATGAAATATAGAAACAGGAGAAACCTCCCTGCGGGCTGGATTGGTTGCGAAGATCGCATAGGGGCAGAGCAAAAGACTCAGTACTGGCCTTGCATCATCTGAACACAAAAAACCAACTCAAAAATGCATGAGGAATTGCTGGGAAACATTTCAAATGTGTGATGGTGCCCACAGTGGGGAAATCACACTTGCAAACTCTGGCTCTGCGGCCAAATACTTAAACCACTGAACTGTCCAGGGATGAACACAAGAGACCAACAATATGAGAATGATTTCATGCAGATGCCACATAAGAAGTGAGTGAACAAAGTATAATTTGAAAATTAAAATTTAGTAAAGAAGAACCCCAATTAATTGGCAGTCCGTTGAGCTAGACAACAGCTTCGATCAGCTTAGCATGTATTTAGAAACAGTGTTCTCTCAAGAGGTAAAGCTGTCTTTTAGTCACAGTGCACACTTTCTTTCACCTCCTTCTCTTATATTTAGACATTCTTTCATCTGTGATGGTAAAAAGGAGCTCATTTTGTAAGTCAGATTGCTACAGCAGACATCTGTGAAGAAATCTTGTTGTTGAAGGGAGCCTGTGTTAACTGCAAAAATATTTCCTTTAATATGTAATTAGACCTTATGAATATTGCATCTTATTCACAGGAATTTAAGAATGTCTCTCAGAACTGAAACAGGATGGTTTGCTATATATTCATGTTACAGAGATATAAAACTGATAAATTCAGAGGGGAAATAGATAGGTAAATCAAGGGTGGGTATGTTTTAATTAATACAATAGATGTGATTAGTATTGCATTTTCTAGTTTTTCCGCCTAAGGACAAAAACAGACTCCTCTGTCCTTAAAGTAGAAGATGTGGACATTTCACAAGCAGGGTCTGGTCAGACTCTGGAAAGCCACAAGCACTTTGTGAGATACACATCTGTCTAGAAAACCCCTGGAATATGCCGTTTGCAAAGTTCAGCTGTAGGGGGGACCTTGCTTATGTAGCCCCTACATCATTCCCTGCACACAAACTCCTCCTGAGCTTTCTAGATTCATGCCCATCACTGCCACCACATCAGAGGGGAAAGAGGGGAGGAAACAGAGGCTGCATCTTCCTGCTGTCACTTCTTCCTTCCACGGGTAGGAAGGCTGAAGGGGAGAGAAGGATAGGAGAGAAGGTTACCCTCGCCTCCCCCCCCCCTGCCAAGCTTGGTCTATGGAGAAAATAGTTGAAGGCTCCACCATCTTGCTTTCAGAAGCTCTTAGGCCTGAACACAGAGACGACAGGGCAGTTCTTGGCTGTCTCTTCCAGCCACCTCTGCCACTCCAGCCCCTTCAGACAATATGGCCACGGGCTGTACAAGGCCTGTTGTTCGTCCTTTTCAATACTATTCCCGCCACCCACTGCAACCATTTGCTCCCATTCCATTCATTTATAAAGAACAAAACTGAACCTCGTTCTCCCGTTACATCACGACTGAGGGGTGGTGGAGAAGAAGGGGTTGGGGGGAATCATCACCAACATCATCAATTGCTTAGGGCAGTAAAATTGGATGTGGGGTATCTTCACAGTTACAGGACACCCGAGAGAGTAACAGAAGAAAAAAAGACAAGGATGAGGTAGCCAAATAGTCCCATGGATCTTTGGGGTTTTTTTTCCCCCCCACTGAGTTTGGCATCTCAACACTGTCTCTGGATGGTGCGCTGGATCCAGGGTGTGATGCAGCAGACTTTGGCATAGACACCTGGATTCCCTTTCTGTGCACATACAAATGTCCCCCAGGAAACCACACCTTCAAGCTGGCCATCACAGACAAGGGGGCCTCCAGAATCGCCCTGCAGGGAGAAAGAACAAGCGACATAAGCATTCTAGAGATGTGTCCTGGTTTATTTTCTATTTTTTATCCAGGGTCATCTAAACTGAAGTCCTCCAGAGGTCACAACTTCCTCCATTGCTCCCAACAAGGGAGGCTGATGCTTATGAAGGATAGTGGAATTTGTAGTTCATGATATCTGGAGGGCACCCAGTAGAAGGTTGCTATAGTGATCTATTTTTTGCTGTTTAGGTTCAATTAGATGACCTAATTGTTTTGTTTAATATTAAAAATACAGGGAGCAAAAATTTACTTTTAAAAATTAATTAACTTTGGCCCTAAGATGTGCCTCCCCCAGGTTGTTAGGTACAGGTATAAAATATGATTTTAAAAGTTATTTTTATTCCCCATATTCTCTCTCTCTTTTTTAATTTTTAAAATATTTTAACTAATACAAAATACAAGATACAAAGTACAAACTACAATAATTGTGCTCCCCACCACCATCGGGACCTTGTGGAGAACTCTTCTCCTCATTGTCCTGCTTTCCAGAATTGCATTGATCCTTGTGTTGGGACTTTAGCTTTTTCCTCACATTAACACAAATTCAATAAATGTACCTCATATATCATTAAAAAAAATTTCTATCTCCCATTTCTTAACTTTTAGAATACAAGGCAATGCATCATAAATAGAAAAATTAATCTTTGGTAAAATTTTCATTTTCGCCAAAGCAATCCTTCCAAACCAAGAAAGTTTCAAATTAAAATATTCTTGTAATCTCCATATTCTCAAAAGTAACTAAAATGGTTACTCTTCATTTGTTTTAGAAAGATATGAATTAATCTTTGGTAAAATTTTCATTTTCGCCAAAGCAATCCTTCCAAACCAAGAAAGTTTCAAATTAAAATATTCTTGTAATCTCCATATTCTCAAAAGTAACTAAAATGGTTACTCTTCATTTGTTTTAGAAAGATATGTGAATGTGACCTAGCTATAATTAATTTTGCAGCAAACAAGAAATTAGTAAGCAGTTCTCTAGTTGTAACATCATAATCTGCAGTATCAAATAGAAAGATATCTGAATGTGAAAACTTATTGGCCTGTAGTCCAAAACACCTTCCACCTGCATAGCAGAGCAGGAAGCACAGCATAACTCAGGACCTGAAAAATGAATCATCTTCTGTTTTTACTGGAGCTGTACCCCATAACTAGAACCACACCACCACAATTATAGTCTAAAAAGTTACCGAGCTGAGTCAAGTTTAGTAATGTAACATATTGTTATATACTGTTGTTGGGAAAAGGAACTACACACAATAATTAGTTGTGCACAACTAGTTATTTCCAGTTCTTTGTAAATGCTTATACTTTATATGTTAGTATAACTGGTTTTGTTATGTTTATCAGAGAAGGCCTCTAGATCATTCATTTTTCAAACAAAAGCTTTCATGTTTAGTTCCTGGGTTATCTCCAGGAAGGGTAGGTTCTCTAAAAGCCTTGGACTGTTGCTACCAATTTGTTTTCCTGGGCTTTCTTTTTTTCCCCCCTGGGCTTTCTTTTTGTCTCCTGACCACATGGCCTGGGGGTGGGATCTAGGGGTGGGACTTCCTGCTTTAAAAGAGCGTGTCCCAAAATTTGAAATCCTCAAATTTTGTATCTGGCCTTAATATGGTAAATAGGAAAGCCAACTAAATTTGCATACACCTGGGAGGCAGGAAAGTTTTAAGGGTCAGCTCATACTTCTGCACTATTAAAGAGCAGGTCGGGTAGGTGGGGCTCGTCAGCC